CACTCTGGGATGACCTGCTCCACCAGGGCGCGATGGCCCATCCCGCGCAACCAGAGCGCCACAGCATCCCGAATGGCGCTGTGGCGGCGCACCGGGCCACCTCCCCGGGGGCAGTTGAGCGCGCGAACGCAGCGGACGTCCACCGTGCGGCCACACGCCGGGCCGGCCTGCGCCATCGCGCGAGCGGGCGCCGCCGGCCGGTTCTGGCGCGTGCACTCGGTCTGCAGCAGCGGCAAATGCATGCGCCTCTTGGCCGCAATGCAGAACGCGTGGTCGGCGAGGGGCGAAACCCCCTCGAAGTTATCCAACCAGGCGCCCGCTGAGCTGCCCGAGGCACTATGCACCGCCGCCGCCGCCGTCGCCGGCAGCGCGGCCAAGAACGTCTTGGTGGCGCGGTCCCGTACATGCTGGATGTGCGTCTTCTGGCCCTTGCCCTTCCGCCCTTCCAAGAGGCCCTGCCAACGGTCACCCTGGGGGCGACGGCCTCCTGCCAACCGCCCCTGCTCCGCGTCCGCCGCCGAGAGGGCGCGGCCAAGGCCCGGCCACCGCCGCCAGAGGCCAACCGTTGTCGTCTCGCGGAGCTCCTGGGCAGCCGCGTGGACCCCGGCTTCCCAGGACGCCAGGAGGGCAGCGGGGCCGCGCTGTTCGGCGCTGCCACAACCCAAACCTCCGTCACTGACCTTCATGAAGATCTGCTCTCGGGGGGCGGCCGTGACCCCCAGAAGGGCGCTGGCGAAGGCGACCGCTCCGTCATCCACCCGGCGGCCCCGCGCCGCCGCGAGCGGAAGCGCGCGCTGGATGTGGACGCAGGCGCCCCTCGACCAGATCCGCATCAACTGGGAGGCGTCAGAGGCAGACAGCCCGCGCGTGCGGAGCGCCAGGAGTTCCCGGAAGTAGCGGTCCTGCCTCTGGGGGAAGGCCTCGCCGCAGGGGAGTGGCATGGCGGCGCCCGGGGCGACCCCGGCACCGCCAGCCGGCGCGAGGCCGCCCGCGTCGAGGTCCTCCGGGGCGGCAAAGTCCGCGAGCGGGACGCCCCGCCAGTCAGCGCCCACGTCGTGGTTTGCGTAAGCCAGAGTAGACCCCACCGCCTCGAGCTTCGGGACGCGGTACTGGGCGTGCTCCGCGAACTCCGGCGGCAGGACAGCGCGCGGGTCTGGGGACCAGATCTGGGTCTTGGACATCTTCAGCTTCATCCCATGGGCCTCGAC